AAAAGGAGACAAAAATTAAAGCAAAAATTTAAAATATATGTACATATCTGAAAATTATAAATAAAATATATATTTTCACGAGAGACAAATTAAATAAAATGGGTTAACTTTAGGGGAAATATACTTATCAGATTGGGACAGATAGCGCTTTTACGTTATAAATAAAAATAATTCCTACTTAAATTTTATATAATTTTGGTAACGTATTTCTAAGCTGACCCTGAGATCTGTGAAATAATACATATTTATGTGCATATATTGTGTTGATTATGCTCTAAATCGCTAAATAATTCTTGCAGCAATCAGCACCATTGGAAAGTGAAGTGACAATAGGCTGGTTTTCTTTATACAGCCCGTTTTAAATTCGTATTATTGTTATAATAAATTACAATTATTGTTTGTTTCCATTTCGGTCAACCGCGCAAATTATTTGTTAAAAAAATGTCGTTTCAAAATAGCAATTTTGTTTACTTTTGAATAAGACTTTATCGAGTGCGCTATAAAGACAGGGGGATAAATGCTGTAAAGAAATATATGTTGAGTCCAATCGGTTTTTTGCTAATCCGGTTTTTGTGTAGGTATAAACAAGGTATATTAAAAAAATAAATCTCCATGAAAAAATATCGTTATTTTCGTATTTAAAATTAATCGGAATTTTATGGGGGGATATAAAAACTCGTTTTAATTGAAACTTTGTTTTTTTCGGCTATATTTGTTATTATTTATTGGCCCAGATGCAAATATTGAATGAACTAACATATTTTAAATATTTACGGAACTACCATTTGTATGCAACCCTGCCTATCCTGTATTCAAGTAGATGTAATTCGAAAAATTTAAACGGATTTCTTTAAATCAACCTGAGCTGCGGACATATTGCGAATTCATTTTAAAACATTAACCACTACATTATATTAGTATTAAATACTTTCAATTAAGAAACAATTCTTACTAGAAAATAAATACAATTCTTACTAGAAAAGAAATTTTAGGCAGATTGTTATTGACAATTTTTACATAATTTACGATTGCAATCAATTTCTTTCAAAACTATAATCTAAATGATTGCAAGTTGTATTTTTTACGATCAAAACAGATTCCAATATTAGGTATATTATGCAAATGCAATCCAATTTGATTTGAGTTATTCAGTTTTAGATAGTTAGATAGTTTTAGATAGTTTAGATAGATGTTGCATTCTACCGTACATTTTAAAAGCTTTAAAATCTTAAAACATATGTGAACAACTTTTATAATCTGAATATTTCTAATGTCGCAATCAAAACCAAATTTTATAAATAGCATTTTTAAAAAGCAATCTAATATTTTTCAAGTTTTTGGGCATATATGTTACCATTTGAACAACTAATACTACCAAGTTTTAAGAGACTATTTAATGCAACTCAGGTCATAAAAGCGCACTTTAGACCAAAATAAGCAACTCTAAAAAACAGATGATCGCAGCTGTGGCCCAGGATGACGTCTATTGCTAAGATATCTCACTTGTATTTGTACACAATGGTAGTGTTGCCGTTTTAATCCATATACTTCAAAATTGATACGTGTTTATTTGTGCAAATTTTCGGAAGATACTTAATTTTTTGCTCATGTATGTTTAAAGAGCTGACTGCATTAATTTTTATTTTACTTTACTTTATATTTTCAGATTTAAAATTGATCCAGTATGAAAAGAGAAATCAAGACCGATAGAATACAAGGATGCTGATTGATGTGAAATTCGGGAGAGTAACGTGAATATGACGTCATCGCAGATTTGCCGGTGGAGAGGGCTGAGAGAGATCTATCAGTACGTATATGTTTTGCATATGTATATGTATATGCACATCACACACGATTGAGAGAAACAGAGGTTCCGCCAATCACGGTACCGCTATTCCTCTCTCAAACGGTAATAACGCGAATTTGTATTATTTCCCTATTGAATGTGAAATAACACAAATTTGCTTTATTTCATTTCTCGTTGAGCAATAACACCAACTTTTAAACTTAACGTTTGAGTAATAAAGTAAAAAAGTGCACATATGTGCTTAGTCACCCAGATACATTTGAAAAAAAGTAGTACATGAACAAGTTAAATGGACGGATTAGTATGTATACAATTTTAAAAGTGCCCAGCGTAGTGGCGTTCCGCGTTCGCGCGCCGCCCCGCGCAACACCACGGCACGCCGCGCCGCGTTCGACGTCGAACCTCCTGAATTGCCTACTCAGTCCGAAGTAGCACTTATGGCAAGAGTGATTCTGCGTTTGATTTCCATGCTGACATTATTATTGGTGTTAATGCTGGTTCCCAAGTAAACGAAATTCTCTACTTTCTCGAAATTGTAACGGTCAACAGTGACGTGGGTGCCAACGCGCGAATGTGCTGACTGTTTGTTTAATGACAGGCGATACTTCGTCTTGTCCGAGGTTACCACCAGTCCCATTCGCTTTGCTTCCTTAAGCCCTGTATGCAGCTCTCAAGAAAACGGTCAAGAAAAAATTGCCATTATTTCGCGTGTGAGTCCAAGGAATTTTGACATTTTTGATACCTCACAGCCTGTTGCCTCACTCTTTCCTCAAGAAATAATGGAACGGGCATATATTTCTGTTGCAAACCTGGGTTGCCTTGTGCTCTTTTTTCACAAAAAACTTTAGAAAACCGTAATAGAAAGCGTAGTAAATTTCTTAAGAACTGCGTACTGCCTTAAGGAAATTTGACTCAAGAAAATTTCTTAGCCATTTCTTGTGCGTCATTTTATATGGAGTTTTCGCTTTTCTTGAGAGCTGCATACAGGCCTTTATCCAAATTGGAAAAGGCAGAACAGACTTCGCGGTTTTTGATACCGATGATATCGATTTTATCGAGGTCTTTCCCAATTCTGACGGAGTTGTACTCGGCGACGGAGTCTCTCTCTCGCCACAAATCCAACTCCGAATTTGAGCTCCTTTACATGGCAGCTGGAGTAGACGTCGCAAGGCCCCAGACATTGCTTGCCTTGCCCCGTCCAACGCATTTTTTTGATGGCGGTGATGTCAGTTTTTGTCCTTACGAGGACATCAACCAGCCGGGCAGAGGCACCTTCCCCATTGAGGGTTCGGACATTCCAGGTGCATGCCCTCAAATCGTAGTCCTTTAATCGTTTGTCGTGGTCGTCATCATAACGGAGGGTCTCATTCGAGGCTTTTCCTCGCTTCTTCGCTGAAAGTGGTTTTTACCTGGCGGGTCCCAAACCCAGCGCACAACCCATTGTTGGGACGGGGCTGGTTTTGCAACCAATTACATGCTTATATAGCGAGCCGCTTGCTCCAAGTAGACACCCGCTTGCAGCCGCACCTACTGGTGAACAGACGCTGTAACTTTAGTGAGCCCTTAAACCGAGTAAGTCGGAGTGGCCCCACCGAAGCTTCCTCTCTTTCTTCCGTGACCCAAGGCTCCACTCAGATTGGTTACCGCATCTTGACCATGGGTTGCTCACGTTGCCCAGAGTGCGTGAACGAGGACGCAAGAGTCGGGATTGAGTATAGCTATGCAACTGTAACTGCATACCCAGCGCAACGACTATACCCCATTGTACTCCAGTTATTGACAATAATAATAAGCAGAGGTATGAAACCAAATAGGTTTTTTTTAAATTCTTTCTAACGTGATAGTTTGATACCTAAAAAAATGTGATACATTTGATCCATTTTTTGTTTCTGTTACGATGTATTTCTTCATGGCGTCACGGCAACACTGGTGCTGTCAGTGGTACCGCTACTTTGATTTTGCGGCGTTTGACAGTTGTCGTAATTTGTAAATAAACCTTTGTTTACATATCAGCGGCAAAGATAAATTTTAATTATAAGTGCAAAATCTGTATAGATTGCAATTTGTGAGTGATTTTTGAATTGAAGACTGCGTAAAAACTAGTAAAATGAAGTGCCATGTGTTAAATTGCGACAGCCGTCAAGATGCAAGATGCGTAAATACAAGTGAAGCGCTGCTACAAATCGCTGCATTTTGTGTACTTAGGGCACGGCAAAGCCCTATAATAAATTATATAATTGAGGGACTCGCAACGGTGTCGTAGGTGTCGTATTGTTGTATGTTGTAAACTTTAAAAGCTTAAATAAATGTTAATAGAACTTGAAACCACACCCAACTATTTTTTAGCACAACGAGAATGCATAATATGACTTTGATGGTACTTTTCGAACCCCCTTAGTATATTTTTTATACGTTTACAGTTTACGACATACAACAATACGACACTTACGACACCGTTGTGAATACCCCAAATAAAATGTAATTGATATAACGAAGATTTGTTCTTTGCCTTGATTACGTTGTTTGGTCAAACGTAAAAAATTGAACCTGTGGCCCCCACTTGCGCTTGCTAAAGAAAATAAACAAACCCTTACAGGGTTGTATTTTTGTACACAACGCATCAGTTTAAAAATTTCAAATAAACGTCAAAAAGCCAATAAGAAGAACAAGCTGTGAAAAAGACAAAAGCAAAAAGGAATCGAATGGCGAGTGAGCGCGTCCCTTTTCTTGTAAAAGCACGTCTATAGAAAAATGAAAAATTCCGATAGAGCAGTAAATAGTGAAATAAATTATAATTAAATGTGGAAAAAGCTACAAACTTAACTTTAAACATTGAAAACAGAAAAATTCCGCTGGAAAAAGTTCAATTGTGAAGATA